CAGATATTTAAATCTGAGAGCATGCGCAAAATGGGAAGCCAAGTACTGAATCTGTTAGGTAGTATTACAGCATATATTTGATCACATCTACATGTAAGACTTAGTAGAATAGATACAAATAAAATACAATCCTAAATCCCAAGAAGCTTATAGTACAGTCTGAGTGAAGACTAAAACATGTACACATAACCACTGTAAAAAGCATCCATTTACTCAATAAAAAAAAATTTTTTTTATTGAAGAGCTTATAGGTGCCAAGAGTTTATATTCTACAGAGGAAACAATTCACATAGTAAGATTAGGGCATAGGCCAGGGGTGGGCAAACTTTTTGACTCGAGGGCCACAATGGGTTCTTAAACTGGACTGGAGGGCCGGAACAAAAGCATGGATGGAGTGTTTGTGTGAACTAATATAAATTCAAAGTAAACATCATTACATAAAAGGGTACGGACTTTTTATTTTTTATTTATTTTTGCTTTTATTTGTTTATTTATTTTTTAATATTTTACAAAGTAGAGGGAGGCAGGGAGGGAGGATTCATTCCCAGCAGGACATGATCAACAGGTACATGGGCAGTGGTATCAGGGACAGCAGGGGGGGAAGGGCATTCTGTGCTTCTGCCACAGGTGTCTTTCCAGGGTGGCCCGCAGGCGGAAGGGCACACGGCAGTGGGGGCACTCAAAGCAGGCACCGCCGGGCCCAGGACCGTGTATGCTGCGGTGGCGGCTAAGCTTGCTCCTCTGGGCACAGGCAAAGGAGCAGAGGTCGCAGGTATAGGGCCGCTCCCCGGTGTGTGAGCGCCGGTGCACCGTCAGGGTGCTGCTGTCGGTGAAACGTTTCCCACAGAACTCACAGCTCAGTGTCTTTGGAGTCTTCTTAGGCAACTTCTCTGGGATCTGGGCAGAGTTGATTCCCTCTTCCTTGATGGCGTTGCCCCAACTGTCCCCACCAGGACCAGCCTGAGCTCCACCACCTGGAGCCCGAGGTTCCTGCACACCTGCTGTGTGGGCAGCTCCAGCCCCTTCAGGGCTGCACAGGAGAATCCTGGCCGGGGCAGAAGCATGGGCGGCTGGCTCTGGAGGCGCAGCTGAGGCCTGTTCCTGACTGGCCTTGGCCGTGTAGGGGCTCTGAGGTTGCAGCTGCCGGTGGTGGGTCTTCTTGTGGCGGTTGAGCTTGCTGCTGTGGGCACAAGCGTAAGCACACTGGTCACAGGCGTAGGGCCGCTCGCCCGTGTGCGAGCGCATGTGCACCTTGAGGCTGCTGAAGGAGCTGAGGGTCTTCATGCACACAGGGCAGGTGGGGCTCCGCCGGGGGAGGCTGTTGGCCCGGGAGCCCTTGGCCTCCACTTCCTGCCCCACCACTGCTGACATGGCTGCAGCCACCTCTGACTGGCCCAGCAGCGGAGCCTCTGGGGCCTCAGATTGCGTCCAGTAGATGGACAGTCCATGGTCCCACTGGGCATGGCGCAGCAGTTTCCAGGCCTCTGTGAATTGTCGGCCACAGCGGAGGCAAGTCAAAGCCTTCGGGTTCTCGAGTTCTGAGTCCGGGCAAGGGCTGCGGCCTCGAGAGGGCTGACAGCCCTGCTTCTTCTGGTCCACGATGGCCTTGATGGCCTTCAGCCGGAAGGTCTGCAGGCAGAGGTCACAGGTCAACGTATCTGAGTGTTTGCCAGTCCAGGGCTGGCGGGCGTGAGGATTAGGGACCAGAGAAGTCCACGGCGCCAACTGGTTCTGCAAGCCGAGGGCGAGGTGGGTAGGGGCGGCGGGCACCAGGGTAGGGCAGGAGCGGGGTGCGCCCTCCAGGTGGCCTGGTGCGGGCACTTCCTTTGGAGAACCCCGCTGCAGCCCCGCGGCCTGTAGGGGCCACGGACTTGGCTCGGGCTTCACGTTTATGACCAGGTCCCCCATCTCCATCTCGTCGTCGGTGTGGGCGGCGGACTCGGGGTCTACTCGGCGGGGCTTGCAGCCGACCTTGCGGCGGGACACGGGACATGGTTTGGGGTGCGGACGATCCTGTGAGCTGGCGGGCTGGCGGGCAGGCTGGTGGGCTTCAGGGCGGAAGGCGCGCGAGGGGTGTGCTCTCTGGCCAAGAAGCTCAGCTGAGTGACTGGGGCCACTGGCCTGGAACTTTTATACCTGCTAGCCTGGCCGTGGCTCCGCCCAATGGGCGGGGCCTGATGGGCTCAGAAGGGGCGGCCCGCGGGGGCCTGGCTGGAGGTCAAACTCAGTCTGAGCCTTGCCCACGGGGATTGGCTTAAGGACTACACAAACTAAGGGCACCGAGCTCACGAGGCCAGCATAGGAAAGGCGACTTCAGATCCCGTTTTAGGGGGTCTTTTTCGGGCCGTAGTTTGCCCACGGCTGGCATAGGCCATAGGACATGGTGGGCGACAGGTGATTAGAGAACCGACATTTAAGTGGAGACTGAGTAGAAGGTGAGGATAAGAAAGATGCTTTCAGGCAGAGAACAGCATGAACACGGACAAATACTACTCCGAGAACTAAAATAATGCCAGTGGATGGAAGTAGGAAATATGGAAGAGTGGTGAGAGAAAAGAGACCAAAAGCAGCTCTGGAGAGTTTTTTTAAAAATATATTTTTATTGATTTCAGAGAGGAAGAGAGAGGGCTAGAGAGATAGAAACATCAATGATGAGAGAGAACCATTGATCAGTTGCCTCCTGCACACCCGGGCATGTGCCCTTGACCGGAGTTGAACGCACAACTCTTCAGTCTGCAGGCCAACACTCTCCACTCTCCACTGAGCCAAGCCAGATGTGGAAAGTTTTTTTTTTAATATATATATTTTTACAGAGAGGAAGGGAGAGAGATAGAGAGTCAGAAACATCGATGACATCGATCAGCTGCCTCCTGCACATCCACATCTCCTACTGGGGATGTGCCCGCAACCCAGGTACATGCCCCTGACCGGAATCGAACCTGGGACCTTTCAGTCCGCAGGCCGACACTCTATCCACTGAGCCAAACCGGTTTCGGCCTGTGGAAAGTTTTAAGGTCTCTGGCTACATTGTGCAGGCTGTGGTACAGCTTTACATATAACTCATGTAGTTCTCACAAGAACTCCGACTTTCCAAATAAAGGCTCCAGCTAGTGGTGGGTCCAGCTTGCACCCGATCCTGAGAAAAGCAGACAGATTTGAAACATAGTTGGCAGGTAGAATAAATATAATTTGTAAAAATTAATTTTTGCACACGTGTATTAAAGGAGATTCCTTGCATGCCATCTAATGAATGGTGGTGGTAGACTGATAGGTTCCAGCTGGAGTCATCAAGAGCCTCAAAGAGGAGGAGCAAACCTGTGTATAGCATAGAAAGTGATTATGGTGGGGGTGGGAAGGAGACAGTGGTGAGGGGGAGCGTGGGAAATACAGTATGAGCCCCTGGTCCTTTGGGGATCCTCCTTGGAGAAGATGGTGCTGTGCAAGAAATGAAATACAAAAAGAACATCCTCCACAAGTATCTTAGATATTCCCCACAATCAGAAACGGGGGGACAGGAAGAACTGAGTGTGGTGAGTACAGGTGAGAGAAGGGACTGATTCCCTATCTTGGCTAATACCTGCAGCATTTAGCACAGTATCTGGCACCTAGTGAGCACTCAATAAAAAGTGATAGTTATCCCACACTAGCTCCAGCTACATCTGCCTTATTTGCTTCAATAGGCCACTCCCCCAAGCCCTGTGGCACCTGAGGCGCACCTCTTCAAGGAAATCCAAATGAGAGCATGCCCTGTCCCTGGGTCTTCATTTGTAATCAGACCTGCCAGACATGACTTCCGGTCATCAAATCCAGAGGCGCCCTCTCCTCCTGGAAACTCCAGTTTCGACTATTACAGCACAACGGGTATTCACATTCCCCAACAAAACGTAACCCTTCTTCAAATCCTTTGCTGTTCCCTACCGAAAGCATGAAACAATGTCAAACCTCGGCTAGCAAACCTGCAGTTACAGAACTCGGAGAGTGCCTTGTGTTCTAGCAGCCGACATGGTTGTGGATAATAAGCTTCCGAGATCGCCCCCATTTCCCCCAAATCCAAGGGTGAGACCTTCCGGCTTCACTTTCCGAGGCAGAAAGGTACCTGCACTAAAGACATTTGCGAAAACAAGGGGTTCCCTTTACAGGTCCTGAAGGGAAGGGGGAAAAAAGCGGCCGTCACGAACAGGATTCGAACCTGTGCGGGGAAACCCCATTGGATTTCGAGTCCAACGCCTTAACCACTCGGCCACCGTGACTCCCAAAACTGCAGCCGGCCTCGCGCTTACAGAAGGAGTCCGCCCGGCGGGGACGCACACCCGCCGGCCGCGCGCCCCCTCCCCGGTCCCCACCTCCCTTCTCTGCCGCTCAAAGGGCAACATCGGGGGGGACGGGGGACCCCGGCTGGGAGGGCCACCCACCCAGCGAAGACTCGGGGTCTCAGGGAGCGCAACGCTCTGTAGAGGCGACGGCGTTGCCTGCAAAGGAAGCAGCTGGCGGGCAGGGGCTGGCCCCGAGGGTGGCGGCCCGGGGACCCGGGATGGAGGAGGGAGAGGCGCTGGGACGGGGCATGAGGGGCGGCTCGGGAAGCGTTCGCACGGTCTCCCCGGGTGAGAGGCGGGGACATCTCGGGGAGGGGGGTCTGGGCTCCCGGTCCCGGGCTCCGAGGGGCTAGGGATGCGCGCGGTGCCGGCCACGGCGCCCCCTTGGGGAGCGTAGACAGGAGCCGCTTCCCGGGCCGAGAGGCCACGAGAACAGGGTCCGAGCGGTCCCGGCAGCGGGCGCCGGCCCGGAAGCAGCCGCCGCTCCGGGGCTCCCGCCGCCGCCGCCGCCCGGGAGGCACCCGGGATCGGGCCGCGCCCGGCCGGCCGGCAGGGGTCGCTGCGCGGGCCGGGACCCAGGCGGCGGGAGGCGGCGGCCGCGGCGGCGGGAGGCGGGCGGAGGCGGCGGAGGAGGCGGGAGCTGCGCCGAGCGGGGCGGGCGGCGGCGGCGGGCCCGAGCCCGAGAAGATGGCGGTGCGGAAGAAGGACGGCGGCCCCAACGTGAAGTACTACGAGGCCGCGGACACGGTGACCCAGTTCGACAACGTGCGGCTCTGGCTCGGCAAGAACTACAAGAAGGTACGCGGGCCGGGCCGCGCGGCCCGGGGGCGGGACAAAGGGACCGGGCCCCGCCGCGCCCGGGCTCCGGCCCCCTCGGCGGCCGCGGCCCCCGGTGCCGCCCCCGCGCCCCCTCCGGCCCGCGCCCCCCG